ACCATTTGAGTTGCGAAGATAGTAGAGAGAGTTTTGGAGGAGAGAAATGTCCCAGAATGATTTTTTTTGACAGGTAACGGTATGTGGACCACTCTCCCCCTCATGACGATCCGATGACTCGGGGCGTCATGCCTTTATTCTTTTATTCTGCGGAAATAAAACAGGAAAAACAAGCAGAATGTAAAGAAGATAACGTAGCCCCCCGGGGTCATGTAGATGCCCGTTATCATCACTATAGAGTTAAACTCTGATGTGATGGCCTGAAAATGATGGTGATTCTTATGTTGCATCAGCAGGACTTCCTTCCAATCATTGGTCTACATCTGTGGTAGATGAGCCCTATGAAAGTTCTCACGGGTCATGTAGACCTGCAACTGACTCAAAAAGTGCGTCTGTGTCCTAGAAAATTTCAAAACATTTGGGAGTGAGTAACTAGACACGACGTGATCAATGAAAGTTCAGTGGCATGGGGCTGAGGCCACTGTAGTCAGTATCACTTGCCTAGGAAGGAGACAGTAATGAGAGATGTGGTTCCCCGTGAAATGTGATTAAACACTTGTCTGTTGAGAGACAAGTGAGTGGTCTTGGGTAGGGTTGTGCATGCCCCGTTTGGACAAAATGCAGCGACTTCTACCCGGGATCTGAATAAATTCAGTCCTGAACCTATGGGGATAGTCCAGAGTATTTGAGTGGCTAGGAGTAAATGTTCAATGGATAGTAGGCAGTTGAGGTAGCAGACTTATTAGTGATAATTGTTTTCTTGCTCACTTGAGCCTTCTGCTTCCTAATGCTCATAATATTCACTCACTCACTTGGTCACTCACTCACTCACTTACGCTCGGCTTTGTCCCTTGGGTAGGCTTAGTTGGGTTTACTAAGTCATAGGGACATGTTCTCTCATTACTTTTTTCATTGTCTCTTTGTACTCCCCCTCAACTAGAGCACTCGGTATGCTTAGTCATTGTTAGGTACCGAGGAGGATAACATTGAACACTCCCCCTAAAATGTTGCATCCGTTGAGAGATTACAATCTCGAGTTTTAAATCTCGAGATTTCAATCTCGAGGTTTAAATTTCGAGATCTTAATCTTGAGTTTGCCTCGAAGAATAATGACGAAATCCACCTGCAAAACACACCTACAGTCTTCGAAATCTTCATAATTTCAAAATGTTTGGAACATCGAAAACTTTGGAGTTTCGAAAAGCTCAAAAAATCGAAAACATGTTGTTTGAAAAACATCAGAACATCGAAAACTTCTAAAAACTTTGAAAAACAGAGATTCATCCAAAAATCCTATAATGTAAAGCATCGAAGTGGTCTGAACTGGAAAGATATCAAGTTTAGAAGAAATAAGTGATTCAAGAAACTCCAAACTTTGAAAAATTCAAAACATCGAGAAATTTTGAAAATCTCGAAATCTTGAGAATGTCGAGATCCTAAACATCGAGATCCCAAATGTCGAAATCCCAAAACTCGAAATTCCAAAACTCGAGGTTTCAAAACTCGAGATTTCAAAACTCGAGGTTTCAAAACTCGAGATTTCAAAACTCGAGATGAGAAATTCGAGGCCCTAAATGTCGAGATCCTGCAAAATGAAAACTTCGATTTTTGAAAATCCGAAAACTGTTTTGAATAGCCCTGAAGGTCGAGATTCTCCTGTATCAGTTTCAAGTCAAAATCATTTTTGCAGCAGTGAAAAACAAGAATCTCGAGATCTCAAATCGAAAACAGAGATATGCTGCTGGATCGGTTTTGAAAGGCGATTCCAACAGTATAATATTTACAGATTTTCGTTCACAAACAAGATAACAGGAGCAAATCTCTATATCAAAGAAAAAGAGAAGAAAAGCAGAGGAGTTCTTCGTAAGATCAGAAAATTCGCAGATAGATTTAACCTGTTTCATGCCTCGGCTCTGATACCAATTGATAAACCCAAATATTTAACAATCAAACAACCATAACAAGAAGAATAAGTAGATAGAAAGATATCGAGAAGATTAAAATCGAATCTGGTATACCGTGTGAAACCCCGCTGCTCTCCCTGGAGAAGGAGAGCAGCGGGAACCCTGCTCTCTCTCTATCTTGCCTCTGCGTCTCTAAAGCCTCTCTCGATTGTTAGGGTTCCCGTAAGTTAGCCTCCTTTTATAGGAGAAGTTGGCTAACTTACGGGTTACAAGGAAGCTAACGGGCTGATACACATTTGTGGCCCGTATTACACGTTTAATTAATAACTACACAAATAAAAAGATATTTAATTAGATTGGACACCATAAAATATTCCCAACAAATTTCTTTTCTTTGTTAATAGAAAGTCATGTTGCTAGGTAACATTAAAAGTATTATGTACAGAATGAAAGAAGCATGATGTACTGGCCCAGAATGGATCAAGGACATTGACCCATGTGATGAATGTCTGGAGTTCTACTATGTTCTGGAGTTCTACTATGTTCTGTATTTGATGGTGGGTACAGATTTTAGTACTCCATAGTAAAGATTGGTTAAATAATACTACGTACATTACTTAGAATAATACACACTCAGTGGGTAAATAATACATTACTCCACGTGGATTGGCTCTTTTTGTGGAAGAAAGAAAAAGACGAGGTCAAGAAAAGATGAAAACTTAGAATTGGAGGACCTATATATCTGGCATTAAATTCTTCAGCTAGAGTACTAACCAATGGACATTATAATTACTAACCTCCAGACCTGCAATTTCTAACCCGCAAAAATATCACTCAACGTGCTCTATTTCCTTGCGTTGCAGCAGCTACTGCACATTTTCACTTTTCAGATAGTAATCAAGAAAAGCATAGAAAACTGGACCGGTTTATTACATAGAAAACAGAGGATCGGTTTATATATGGACCTGAATAGAAGAAATTTATCTGTCAGACTGGGGAAAGAACTCGACATTCAGACATTGCTTGCTCCATATTTCAGTTTTAGGTAGACCACCTCCATGTAATGAAGAACATAAAGTTACGTTACAACAACTTGCTACTCCCATAAGACTCATTTGCAATATTTTCAACATATATATACGTATGCTAGAGAATGTACATTATGTGCTCTTTAATGCACAGATTTTATTGAGAAGCTAGAGCAGATAGGCAAAACAAGATGTTGTAATTAACTAGTGATCATGTTAGGAATATTTTATGATGTTCAATCTAATTTAATATCTTTGTATTTATGTAGTTATTAGTTAAACGTGTAATATGGGAGGGTATCAGCCCATTAGATTCTTTGTAATCCATATGTTAGCCAACTTCTCCTATAAAAGGAGGCTAACTTATGGAAACCCTAATTAAGGATTAAGAGGCTTCGAGAGCATAGAGGCGAGATAGAGAGATTAGGTTTCTCGCTGCTCTCCTTCTCGAGGGAGAGCAGCGACCCTTTACACGGTATACCAGATTCGGTTTCATCTCGATATCTTTCTATCTGCTTCTTCTTCATCTGTTATGGTTGTGTGATTGTTTAGAATCAGGGATCATCAATTGGTATCAGAGCCGAGGCGTGAAAAAGGTTGAATCTATCTGCGTTTTTCGAATCTAACGAAGAACTCCTCTGCTTTTCTTTGATATAGAGATTAGCTCCTGTAATCTTGTTTGTGAACAAAAATCTGTAAAAATTATACTGTTGGAATCGCCTTTTTGAAACGATTCTACATCATATCTTCGTTTTCGATTTCTGCAATTTTTTAATTTCGAAGATCTCTACATTTAGATCTCGAGATTCTATATTTAAATGGTTGCAGAAACGATTTCGACTTGAAACTGATACAGGAAGAATCTCAACCTTCAGGGCTTTTCAGAACAGTTTTCAATTTTTCAAAATTCGAAATTTTAATTTTGCAGGATCTCGACATTTTGGACTTACGAAACTTCGAATTTTGGGATTTCGATACTTGAAGATCTCGACATTCTGAAAATTTCGAGATTTTAAGAATTTCTTGATGTTTTGAATTTTTCAAAGCTTGGAGTTTCTTGAAACTCAGAATTTTCGAAACTTTACATTCTTCACAGTTCATCGAAGCTATGGATGGACTCGGGTCCGGGCCGGGTCCGGGTCGGGCCTAGGCCCAGGCGGGCCGGCGGGTCAGAAATGGTGGACCCGGGACCGGCCCGGGTAACCACCGGGTCCGGTCCGGGCCCGGGCCGGGCCGGGCCCATTATATATATATATATTTTGTTTTCCTCTTCCTAATTAACCCCCCTCCCACCCCTAACCCCCCAAACCACCCCAAATGGCCCAAAATACCCAGCCCAACCCGAAAAGTTAAAAAAATTGAAAAAAAAATTAGTTTTTGGCCCGAACCGGGCCCGGGCCCGGCCGGGTCGGGCCTTGTTTTGGGTGACCCGAGCCCGGACCGGAAAACCCACGGGCCGGGCCTACCCGGACCGGTCACTGACCGGGCCACCGGGTCGGGTCGGGCCGGAACAGTACCGGTCCCGGGCCAGTTCCGGGTCGGGCCACCCGGCCCGAGTCCATCCCTAATCGAAGCTTTACATTATAGGATATTTGGATGATTCCCTGCTTATTAAAGTTTTAAGAAAATATATTAAATGGGACTAAAACATGGTTAAAACTCCAAAATAGGACTTCAAGTTTTAAATTTCCTAAATGGAACTCCACATTAAAAAGTGGAAGTGATAGGACGAGTCACTCAACGCCTTATATCACTCTGTATCTTCATATTTGACTAATCTAACTCATTCCAATGTTTGGGACTGCATCATATGTTATAAGTGTGACTTATTACCCAAATGGCTTGTTTTCTGCTAAAATCCAAATTAGTCTTAGACTCATAGGTAAAACACACAGATTCCTCGCTCCATCAGTACTCATGAAATAAAGTACGTAGTATGTTTTTTAAAAGTAATTCGTCAACCAAACTATTTACCTGGACTGGTGACAATTTTGTTAAGAGGAATTTCAACAATTGAGGTCATTATTAGGTTAGTGACCACATATAACATTGTAAGACTACATAAATCAAAATTGGGACAAGATTGTTTCTGCTTCCTAAATAATACGGAGTAAAAAATTGCAAAAGGGCTTCGTTGTGAAGCACAGTATAATCCCCATATCACTCATGTTCATTGCACTAGGGCTTGTGTAACTTCCTCTGCCGTGTACTCAGCACAGGGAGATGCCTATTTGGTGACGACATCATGACATCGGCTGCAAAGTGAAGGATGATCATCAAAGGAACCTAATTGAGGTGAATAGTTCCAGCATCTTTCACATTTCTCTCCCTTTGCCGGGGAGACGCCAATCCAGACTTTACTTCCTCCTTGAATAACATACTCTCCTGTGTATGGTATTCCTTCAATCTGTTCATCTTCCATAGATGAAAGGACCTCCACCTGCCAACCACAATTTTTGAAAATGTGTTCATGATTTTTCAATACGAAATGGAACAGATATACCCGTGTACTATATGTGTGAGAAGAAATATACCCTTATTCTGCTATTTGGAACAAAAAAACTCTAAAAGTTGAAAGTGGGTCTAAATTTACCCGTCCTTAACGTTTCCTCACTACAATTAACATACATTCCATCGGCCTAAAGAAAACCCTTGTGACAGAGCAGAGAAAAAAATGGCTTGAACCAAGGATGAAGAAACGAAGCACACAGGGAGGCGACTTCAATTACTCAGGCAGAGCAACGAATTGGACATAACTTTTGAATAATGAAATGGAGTAAAAGATAATGATGCTGGTATGTGTTTGACTGTGATTACTCATGTCTTTCCGGTGGGTTTTGTTGGTGTTTGTTACCAGATTACCCGCAAAGACCTGTTTTTGTTGTTTAAATTTCGGCCCAGTAAACAAAACATCCAATAACCAAAAGATACCAAGGGCAATACACACGTTGTAACTATTTCACAACCCTTGTATTTCTGCACTTTTTCAGAGATATTTGGGTTCAAGAGGACATTGTTTCTACAGATTGGTCAGAAATTTTAACCTTCCAGATTTAGGTGCCACAGAGTTGCTAGAAATTTTTCACCATTGTTGAGACCAACAAGTGAGATAACGGGATTTGGGTTATTTGTTGATATTCTTTATGGAAGACAAACTCCCAATTTCACCATTTAAAATTGTGTACTGATGTATATTTACGAGATATTGAATTTATTTCTTATTCACATGTTATGCATATTGAACTTGGTTATTACAGTATATTTTTTTTCTTCATTTGTGTTATTGTGTAGCCTGGTATCCAAAGTGAAACACTGATATCAGCGGGTTCTTCTGTACATCAGGCAACTATTTTTGATGATCCTAATATGGTCTCTAAGGCTTCCGATCCTTAGTGAACAAGCTATAAGGAAGAAGAATGTCAAATGATGAAGTGGCTGACGGAAATCACGGAATATGTTAGTTTGTAGTGAGGAACGTTAAAGAAGGGTAGTTTTAGACCCACTTTCAAGTTAAGGAGTTTTTTTGTTCCAAAAAATAGAACAGGGGTATATATGTTCTCACAAACATAGTATAGGGGTATATTTGTGCCATGTCCCATTTTTTAATACTAAACAAACTGGTGTCTTCTAATAAACTTCCATACTACCAAAATATTTTTTTATTCTTTTTTATTTAAAATAGAAGCACCTCATATGTTTAATTGATTATCAATTGATAGGTCCAGTGAAAAGATCCCAGCAGAGGAGGCCACAGTTAGTACCTGGGATGTTATAAAGATCCGATGCAATGCATCAGCATCATTTTTGGGTTCATGTGCTGCTTCCTTTAACCGTACAGCAAGTGTGGTATCCGAAGTGTGCAGATAGACCATTGCCTCTAAACTGGCACCGATCAACTTCCCAGCACGTGCAACTTCGAGTGCTTTGTTCACTTCAGTTCTCAGCTGATAATAAAGGTAGTTCAATTAACTTAGTATAATAATACTAGTAATACATATCTAAGGTAAATCCCATCAACAGTTGTAAGCTATTTGATTTTGACCCCCCTCACCCCCACATTGGATCTCGATAACACATTTAATCAAAAGACAATCATAATCTTCAATGCTGTTTCATAACACTTCTATCGGTCACATATAAAGATTATAAAGTGGTACCTCTAGAACTTTGGCCCATACATCGATGTCTTCCACTGGGAAGGAAAGATGTTTCTCATTTGTTATTGGCCAGCCCGACTCGAAGACAAACTTGGCAACATTTCCATCTTCAGTATTATCGGGAAAGGAAGATGCTGCCAGACATCCTCAGCCAGATGGGGTAAAATTGGAGCAATTATCCGTGTAATTGAAAGTAAATGAGTTTGACAGTTTGACAACTTCTTCTTGCAAAACTACTACTCCCACTGCAAATTAACGATTTAAACAAGTATGCAAATTTGATAAGCAACCACAAAAAAAGAAGAAAACATGTCATCCACAGAAGAACAAACCTCTTGGACGCATAATATGGAGTGTTTAGGATTTACAAAGAAGCAAGCTACTAGCTAGTCCATTAGGTGAAAACTAATTCTCGAAGTAGAAATCTGATCAAGCAACCACTTAACATTTCTTACTTATTAGTTCACTAGTTATTTCTTTCGAACATTCCATTAAAGGACCTTGGTAAATATATGCTAAATCATACAACAGACACAGTTTGTAAGTGTTCATAATATTTCAGAACTCACCCAACATAAAGTCGATCTGTTGCTACATCAAAGTAAAAGTTGGAGAGATCAACAATGGCAAAGCGTTGAACAATCTACACGGATTAAAAATAAGTTAAGTCATAAGAAAGCAACAGGATAATTATAGTTCTCTGGCTGCTTTTGTTTGTTACCTGATAAATCTTATAAAACTGATAATTGTCATAGCTTTCTTTGATGCTTTTCACAATGGAGGAAAGCTGAAATAGTGCATGCTGATCAATAATTGGAAGGTCACGGTATGGAACTTCATAGCCGAACTGCAGAAAAAACAAACATCTCTTCAGATACATGCAAAATGAAATGCACATCAAAAACATGGATGAGCTTACTACAAGATACTTTTACGAACCACATATCAAAGGACCATGCAAAATAGGACTGTAAAATGACTAGAGTATACATGTCATCCAAAATGATAGAAAGGTTTACGGTAGAGAGAATGACCACACACAAAAAAGTTCACTGGGAATCTTATATTTCTAAACAACATTTTTTACTTACAAAGGTTGAAAGCTACAAGATAAACAACTACTATTTTCAATGAATCGAGAAACTTCTTTCTCCTTTCTCAGATTATCATGCTTACATTCCAGTCATGGAGATTTGCCAAGAGAAACCGCCAAGTTCCTCGCAATTTCCGGTACATTTCAGACATTTGACGGAGGACTTGAGGGCCCATCAGTACATCTGCGGTATAATCAACACTTGAAACCCATAGTCTCAAAACATCAGCACCATAGGGTGGTGCTTCCTGTCAAATATGAGGTGTAAAAAAACTTGCAAATTACAATCCAGGAACTGAGATTGTTTAAATCCCATTTACCAACTAATGACAAACCTACCTTTTCGTTTTTCCCTCCTTCAATTACAGTTATGGGATCAACAACATTGCCCAAAGACTTACTCATCTTGAGCCCTTTCTCATCCAGGACAAATCCATGTGTAATGATGCCAGAATAACGGGCTTTTCCTGTAATGCTTTTTATTGATCATGAGAACATAAGTTATCTTGGGAAAAGCAATATGAAGTCTAACTGTGTGTGATATAGAACCACTATGAAAATTAATACATGGAAGAAGAACGGACAGAAACCTATACAAGCAGCAAAAAGTGTATAAAACCGTTCATATCTATAAATAAATGATACATGATGGAAGCAGGTGAAAACAGTATTATCATGTGACCTTTGCTTGCAATGCTTGTCAGCAAAGAGCTCTGAAACCAACCACGATGCTGATCTGTTCCCTCAATTAAATGCTTGGCTGATTTAGTGTAACTGAAGTATTTTTGGAGATTTTTTGGGAGAAATTTATGCATATGTTTATGAATATATATTACAAAGTATCATTTCAGATCACATACTTCGATATTACAAAATTATGGCCAATTTTCATGCATATTTTACTCAACCTTATGCAATTTGTGGCTGATATTTAGTATAGTATTAATTGATGTTCTGACCAAATTTATCTGCACATATTTTTGGCAATGAGTTAATTTTTATAACCGATGCCAAATATTGAACCTTGGGAAAACCATCCAATCCTACTTTTTTATTTAGACAGTAAACCTACATAAATTTATCAAGACTGCAAGAGAGAGAAAAATGTTTGCCTAATTGAGTGTAGCAGAACTAATTTAGGAGTGATTTGGACAAAGTTTATTTTGGAAACTTAAGTTTTGTATATTTTAGATAGGGTAATTTCAGATGACCTACTTGAAGTTACAAAATTAAAGGCAGATTACAGCATATTTTAAAACACATTTTGTAGCACCTCAAAACAATATCAAATGGTATATTATGCTATTCATGTTGAACTTTATAACCATATCTCTGTTTTCTGTCCATCTCGTGTTAGTATACATTTTTTAATGTCTATTCTTTCTGCTTCATCTGCTTCACCGTCAACCGCCCCGTCTAATTTATTTGTTTTAATTATTTTATTCTCAATTAATTATCTCAATTCCTAAAATGAAATATATTAGTCTTATTGGTGGTATCGGACGATGGGGTGTATCGCCCATCCAAAGTAGCAACCTTGGAGTCGACAACAAATTGGAGTCGATATGGGCACATCAAAGATCGTACAAAATGGCGACATTATGCTTTGGACACATAATGTACTTCGATCATATGATAAGTACCATAGTCATCGACAAATGGTACTTCGATCTGAGTTATACATATTTGTGACACATAATCAATTGCTGCATCATATTGCACTTCAATCTATAAGACACAAGTCGTAATGTCAACAGAAAAGAAGTAACCATGATCTCCATTATCCTTTGGTCAATGCTCATCACTTTTAGTCTCTAAGAATCAGATACACATACCATTCTCTATGCCATATTTCCAAATGCTCATGACATCGTTGAATTGCACTTATTTAATCTTTTCGATGTTTCTTATTTACTTCTTTATTGCTTCTTATTTTCAAGGTTTCTCAATTGCTTTATTAGTTGCTCAGTCTGCTAGGAGATGATATAGTGTTAATGGAGGGTGAACCCTTTTATCTAGACTACATACTTCCACTTTACAGGTGAAGGAATAACTCAGTTTTTTGTTTTTTGTTTTATACACTAGCTATAAAGTGACATTTCTACAATTTTATGCATATATTTTGCTGCCTATGTTTCTATATGCTACAAAATCAACTATACTCTTATATTTGGTTTCGAGCAAGGAGGGGCTAGGAGGAAGTCTTTCTCTTTTGCAATGGTCTAGCAATGCACATCCATGGCACCTTTTAGGGATTGGGAAAAGGACGCAAAACAGTCTCTAAGCACATTTGGTAGAGGAAGTGATAAGGGAAGGAACAAACATAATGACTTAATATAAACTATTCGTTGGTTTTGTCTAAATTCTTCATGATTGATGGGCTTATTTGAATTGGAGCTGAGAATATAAGAAACAAACAACTTAATGGGTAATTTTTTTCAATAGGATTGCACTTCAGAAGCACATAGAGATTATAATATCTTTATGTAGATGTAAATGGACACCCAACCAACCAACATGCATTATGTGATAGGTAGTTTCTATACCCAAGCTTTTAACATTCTAATTTTATGAGATCCAAAAACATAGGTTGTGTTTTTTATGCTGACTTTGACTGTAGAACATATCATCGTGATTAAACACTGAGCATAATTTCATAGATAGTTGTGAACAAAATATTAATCTATATATTAAAGATCTATATAAAAGCAATACATTTCTACATCGTCCATATTTTTAAATGTTGCTTTGGATTTCTTTCATCTTCATTCACCCTACCTCCAGTGAAACTGGTCCGTTTTTTTCTTTGCTTTAGTTTGGAACATTCATTTCACAACAACAATCTTTCTGTATCAGACAATTATTCATGAGGGTGTGAAGTATGTTAGTTATGGGAAAAGAAAACTAAAGGTGATGTATTGACTTGAAATACCTGCAAATTGCTTGTATTGAACTCTTGGTTAATAACTTATTGCATCTTCTCTCCTGAACAACTAAAAACTCAACTTGGGGGGAAGCACGGGTCCATGAGCTAACATTTGATTTCATAATTTGATCTTTTGTTTTTGTATGTTGATCTGATCTCTTGGGATTGAGCAAGGATGGAAGTGGGGTGGCACAACCAGTCCAAGCACGAGATATATAAAACCGAGTAGGACTTGGAAGTTAACCAAAGCCAAAGAAAGTGGATTGAAGCCTTGAAGTACAAGTTGGTGATAGATACACTCTTATACTAAAGAAGTCCATTGCCATGTTCCATGAGATGTCTTAGTTAAACAGAGAGTTTGGCTTGCTATACTGATATGATTTGGTGTATAGAACATCTGCTAAACTTTAGGTACATAATGTGATATGGATTTTTAGCAATTCCCCCCCCCCCCCCCCCCCACTTTTTTCCCTCACTACCCTGTTGAATAAAGTCGAGTGTTCAATACTTAGTTATTTGAAATATATTCAGTTTTTTGGTATAAAAAATTGGGAAAAAAAACAATGACAAGAAAATAGATATATATATATTTCAGTTTTATTTCTTAACACAAAAAATGGCGTAATGTGAATTATGTTCTGTCTATCACTTTAGTTACAAAACATTTTTCCCTGCATTTAGCAGAATGTTTGATACTTTGATAAAGACGAGTCTTCTATATTTTTGTTCCTTCAATTTATCAAAATGCCTCAAATGATTATGAGAGATTTACCTAAATAGGACTAAAACATTGTGGAATTGCAAAAATAGGACTCCTATGTTTTATTTGACAAAAATAGGACTAAAAAGAGGTAATCTGACAAAACTACCCTTTTTAAAAAAGAGACGCACACCACCGACGCACAACCTGCTATCCTTCACCCCATGGACCGCAAAATTGAATCTACAGAGCAGCACTCATCCATCGTCGATTGTGGCCTCGCACCGCAGCGCTTCTGCCGTAGCCCTACACTCATCGGCGACCAGGTAGGTAATCTTTTCTTCTTCTTCTTCTTCCTAGTTTTCTGCTTTTTTAAAATTTTTTTATCAATCATATATTTAAATAAAATTTTAATTTTTTAAAGTTTCAAATGAAGATATATCTAAACTTGAATATCTTGTTATCAATTTTGATTACTTTTAATCTCAAAATTCTATGATTAATGATTCCAGAAAATGTCACTTTTTGGATAAGAGCATGTCTAAATATTGGTTTTTTTTACAAAATGTCACTTTTATGTCATTACAATATTTGGAAATGTCAATTAAGTGACATTCCTCATGGAGGGCAGATCCTTTGTCACTTTTATGGCATTACAATATTTGGAAGAAGAAAATGTCACTTTTTATGACATTACATTTGCTTAGGTGACAGTTTCAAATAAGAAAATGACATTTCCAGAGTAATAAAAGTGACATTTTCAGATTGTCATTTTTGTAAATGTAATGTCACAAACGTGACATTTTTTTCTTCAAATAACCAATAATTTTGACATTCTCATAATATACATGTGGCATTTTACTCAATAAATAAAATTCAAATCCAAAAAATCCAAATTAATAAAAATCCAAAAAATTCACAGAAGAAGAGAACAGAGAACCAGCAATTTGAGGAGGATTAGAAGAAGAAGAAGAAGAAGAAGAAGAAGAAGAAGAAGAAGAAGAAGAAGAAGAAGAAGAAAGGAGGAGGAGGATACCTGTGGTCGACGCTGGAGCTGCGGTGCGTGGCGATAGCGGATGGCGGAACTACTGTCAAGGGATGTGGGGAGCGGCTGCTACGATAAATTCTATCGTAGATTGCAGAAGGGGGGCATCGATGTGCTGCGGATGTGCGTGGCCAGGGATGAATTGCAGAAGGGGGCGAGAGATTGGGGTTTTAATAGCAGGAGGGCAAAATTGTAATGTGGAGTCCTATTTAGGGAATAAAAAACTTAGTCCTATTATGGAGTTTAATCTAAGTTTTAGTCCCATTTTGGGCAATTTTTTCAATGATTATTTATGTGTCATTTTAGTTACAGAATGCATTTTTTCTCTTTGAATAGGATATGATCTAAGGTAGAGGTCTTTAATTTTTTCTGTTAACAACAATTAGAAAAAATATTTTTAGGAGGTTTCTCCCAAGTTATATTTCACTAAGAACATAGGTTGTAAATGAATTTTATCTTAGTTATACTATCCAATAATCTTAACGAATATAATTTTATAATTTTTTTGTTAATAGAATAAATATGATTTTTTGTTAATTGAACCTCTAACTACATGGGTTTAATTATGAGTTTTAACTCCACCGGTTATAGAAAATATTGTGTATCATTTAAAGAAATAACTAATAAGATATTTCATTCATTCCATAAAATTCTTCTCAATTGTTTTTTGGGATGTCCCAGAAAATTCTTCTCATTTCATTTTTTGAAAGTTTTTTAGGCTAACATTCGTTTATCTTTTTCTTACTCAACCAAAATCATATATTTCCACTTTACTCTCACTTTCTTAAGCTCCGATCTAAATCAAACCGAGAAGAATTTTATGGAACCGAGGAAGTATATCTTAAGTTTTGTAGAGTAGAAATAGAATTTTTGTATTTAACATGACATATTGTTGGAAAAACAATTCACCTATATTACTTAAATCTACGTGTCATGGGTTTGTGATTTTGATTGTGATGAATGTGCCTTATTCTATGGTGATCAGTTGAATTATATCTTTTAGTCGATTATTAGTATATGTTTTTTATATGCAAGTGAGATGTAATAGTGAGCAAAAAATCCAACACCTCTTTACAAAAAATCCTCCAAATTGCATTTCATTCTTAGTAGTTGGAGGCTTGCAGCGGTTGTAAAATTCCTCTAAGTACGTCTTGGTTCATTCTTAGCAACTGTATAGAAGAAGGGAATGTTGCAGACAATAATGTTTATTTGGTGCTCATGTGGATTCTAATTCCACAAAGTGCAATCATGGATGAGGATAGCTAAGCTCATAGAATACAGAAAGGAAAAACCGCTAGAATGATAGCAAAAGAATATTGTCATTGAAGGCCTGCCTATGATGAAGAACCATTCGAATAAATGTACTCGATTGGAGAAGCTTGCCTAACTTGACAATATGTCACTTTCGACAGAGTGCTATGTTAATTTGTTGATTGGGTAGGATTTTTTTGGGGGGGGGGGATCAAGATTAATAGTTAAATTAGCACATTTCAATAGTTTTTAGTGACTATATAGTTAGTTTGTTATCTCGTGCAATGCACGGATGAAAAACTAGTTATTTATATAGAAATAGAACTGGAGGAAACATTAACCATGTCTTCTCTCCATCGATCTCCCGAGCAACGGGTATAGAAAGTAAGTTCTAACTTCAACCTGAAAATGGTGGGGCCCTCAGAGGGATCAGTACTACAGAATAGTACTGGCGAGAGCAAACTATATGTTAGAATAACTAACGTTTCAAACGGAAGACCCTCAACATAGAGTGATAATATACTTATGGGCATAACTCCTAGCTACTCCATTTCAAAACATATCGTATACATATATACATATGAGTTAAATATCTAGCTCGTGGGTCCATTTTGTCTTTTAAAACATTTAGGCATAACAGTCTCATTTGATTCACCCTTCCCATGTCATACCCTCGGGTGAAGTCACCCGCAGGCTAACTCACCCGATATAAAAAGATAAATAACCAGGTGTGGCCCTTCGGGCTCCTTAATCTTGAACACAGTTCAATTAATCTTTACATTATATAAAGTAATTGGTTCTGCAATTGATTTTGCATTGATTTTGTGCAATTCTCCCGCCCAGTAATCTTACAGTAACAATCTTTATATTAGTCGGTGGCCAATAAGATGTTATAAAGATACGAAGTTTTATTTTGCATATATACTCTGTAGTATATATGGAAAGTAACATTATTATTATACTCGGTGGCCAATTAGATGTTATAAAGATACGGAGTTGTACAGTAACATTATTTCGGTGGCCAGTTGGATGTTATAAAGATGCTGAGTTTTATTTTCCATATATACTCTGTAGTATATTGTCCATTTATAAATATAATATAATACACTCCATATAAACTCTCCATTTAACGGTAGTACTAATACTCATAAATAGTTCACATTATTATCTTTATTAAATTAAATAAATAATAAAGATAATACAGAGTAAAATAATGATATCCATATATACTATCCATATGAACTCTCCATAATCTTCTAATTGCTAGAGCCTAAATCGGTAAGTACATACTATTCATATACTCCCTCTGTCCCTTAAATTTTTGCCATCTTTCCTTTTTGAGACGTCCCAAAAAACTTTGCCACTTCTTTTAATCAATTATTTTGTGGTTTCTATTATTTCTCTCTCCTCTGCACAAACCTCAACCACAAAGTTTTTACTTTATTATTCTCCGTGCCGGTCAACTTTGGCAAAGATTTAAGGGACAGAGGTAGTATATACTATCCATAAATAATAAATATGATAAAAATAGATTGGTAGTATATATTACTACCTCCGTTCCTATTATAACTTCCAAATATGTTTGGCACAAAATTTAAGGTAGTGGGTATTGTGTGGTGGAGAGTTGTGAAGATGAGAGAGAAATGTGTAAGAAATGTTGTGAACCACAAATTCTTTACCAAAAAGGGGAAGTGGAAGTTTTAATTGGAACGAACGAAAAAGGAAAGTTGGAAGTTATAATATATAGGAACGGAGGGAGTATAATAATAAATACGATAAAAATATATTAGTAGTATATATTATATGATTAATTCGTGAAGTAATCATTATGTAGTACACTAAATATAAACTCTCAATTTAATGGTAGTATATACTATCCATGAATAGTTCGCATTTAATCTTCTTATTATTATACTCCGTATGTTGTGGCATGTAACATAAAGTCATGAACTCTCCATATATATACTTTTAAATAAATAATAGAGATCATACAGAGTATTCTCTAGGTAACAGATTTATAATTGATCCCTGGGTACTGCGTTTAGCTCGGCGCTGTAATACATATTATAATTATAATAGTTAATATGATTAATTCGTGAAGTAATCATTATGTAGTATACTCCATATAAACTCTCAATTTACCGGTAGTATATACTATCCATAAATAGTTCACATCAATATATGTATACTATCCAAAAATAAAATTGAGATGTACTTTATATATTATTACCTAGAGAATAATCTCACTATTACCTTTGTTCGTCTACTCGGAGTCGTATTCTAATAAAACATGAATCCTTCAAGCACGTTCTTGCAACATATCTTGCCTGGATCAATCGAATGGAAGATTCATGTGCGTATTATACGCATTTGGAAGTCCTTCGGTAAAAACAAAACAGGACAATCAGAGAGCATTGAGATGGTTTTGCTAGATGAAAAGGTAAATGTATTTGCAACAATTATTGCATAATGCAACCATTGATTATAACAGTATTATCATTTTTTACTATTTTGTTCAACTACTCTAACAGAAAACTAGTATTTTTAACTATTTTGTTCAACTACTCTAACAGAAAACTAAGATGCCTGCTTCTGTAAAGCAAAGTCTAATCTCAAAGTTTGATCCTTTCCTCCGTGAGGGATGTACTTATGTGCTCGAAAATTTGCTGGTGGCTACCAATGATTCAAGATTGAAAAAGACAACTCCACACAAGTACAAATTGCAATTTATGGGTATCACAAAGTCATTTGATACACAAGCGGGTGCAATACCTATGTATCACTTTGACTTTGTGAAGTATACAGACATTTTGGAAGGAAAACATGAATCATCCATAATATGTATGTCCGAATAAGATTGTACCGTAAGTAGTAAAATTTAAAAAATATCACTCTTTATTTATTTAATGTAAAAAATTGGCATTTTGCCATGTTGCCCAAAAAGGTTTTCTGACGGAACTGGAGAAAGATGGCAAGAAAATGAAACGTATCCAAATTACGTTGGAAGATTTAGAGTAAATATCCTCATAGTCTTTATCTTTAATCTTTTATTTTACTTTACTTATTTATCTTAATCTAAGTTATGTATAAGTTATATATTAGTCCTTCAACGAAAAGTTATATATTAGTCCTTCAAAAAAGAGTTATATGTTAGTGTTACTTATGTTATTTTCATATTCAACACAATTTTTGTTTGCAGAGGAAATCAAATTCGTTGCACTCTATGGGGTGACTTCGCAGTTCAGATTCAAAAAAAGTTTGACATGCCGAGTTCAAGTGGACCCCTTATACTCATTTTAGATATGGATCAAACCAATAAATTCAATGGTTGTTTTTTTAAAAGGATGGTTGTTGTTAAATCAATGGTTAACAATTTGTTGTTTTGCTTTATCTCCTTAATTTCGTGTTTTCTATTAACTTAATAAGGGACTATAGGGGTTACAAACGCATTTAACGGTACACGTTTGTCAATCGATCCTGAAACTTAAGGAGGCCATTGAATATAAGCAGAGGTATAATTCTATGTGCATATATTATTATATTCAAAATGTTTTATGTTCATCTAAAATAAGCTTTTTATTTCCTGAAACTATTGGAGTTGATCTAATTTAGAACATAATATTAATATCCACACTTAATTATAGTTGGTATATGGGTACACTAACATTTGGTTGGTAGGCATCATTTTTCAATAACTAACCGTGTGTCTACAAATAAGTAAACAAGTACACAGACTACAAAATGCAATAAAATCAGTTTTGTTCCAACAAATGGACGCATTTATATCATTAGTTTGTATTAGTAATAAAAAATTTAAAGCCCGGGGATAATTTGTTATGTACCTTTTTTCTATACCATTGGAATGACACCATTCGTAGCATACTTGCCTTGCACCATCTAAAAAAACAAAGACATTAAATAAATGCCACAAATAGAGTGCAAAAATTTTCATGCATCTCTAATAGGGTCATGAAAAGTTAATGCCACTAATTCTGTTTGACTACCTCAACTGCATAATTTATTATGTGATCATAACAGATGTAGAGATCAAAATTAATCCCATCTAATAAGGTCAAAACAAAAGTGAATTGGAGCAAAAGTTAATCCCATCTAATATCATTGTGTGATCATAACAGATATAGAGATCATAATTTATTGTGTGATCATAACAGATATAGAGGTCAAAATCAATCCCATCTAGTAAGGTCAAAACAAAAGTGAATTGGAACAAATATGATCACACAATAAATTTATGTAGTTGAGGTAGTCAACATGATCTCTATTATTCTGTTGCCACCTTAAGTTGTTTTGATCTTAAATATCATTAACTTTATCTGATGTGATCATAACAGATATAGTTTTGGGAAGCATTCATTGAGTCAAACAGTGACCAATATCTCGGATCAGGTTCCTTCTACTTTTGAAAATGAATTGGAGCAAACCCCTTTCATGACAATCTCGGACCTCCTAGATTCAACAGAGGTGTGTCTTTATCTTATTTTATCTAATATGAATAAATGATATCATATTCACATGCAAACACACAATACCTAGTGTCATGCAATTTAGCAGAAGGGCTTCGTTTTTGTACTAGCCAAAGTGATTGAGATAGATACAGATGCTTGGTATTATCAGTCATGCCAAAAATGCTTCAAAAAGCTTCATCTTGTTGGAAAAAAATTCTATTGTCATAGCGGGTCATGTGATACTTATAGACTTGCGGTTCCAAGGTAAAATAACTACAACACTCATCTAAAGAAGTAAGTATACAGTACATTAGCAACAATTTAAATATATTATGCATGATATATGTGCAGGTTTAAGCTGGAAATGAAAGTGATTGATGGTACCGGGTCGTCTACATTTGTAGCGTTTGAAAATTGTGTAATTCCATTCTTAGGCAAATCTGCTTCAGATATTTTAAGTTCCATGGAAAAGGTTGTACACTAACTAATATTTCTCTTATAATACCCAATTACACAACAAATAATCACTTATATGTTTAATATGTAGGGTGGTGTTATGGATTCCATACCTAAAGAATTTGATTTGATTCTCGACAAGACTCTGTTGTTCAAGGTAGAAATCAGAGAAGTCAACATTGAGAGTAAATGGAAGAATTATAATGCTAAAAGGATGTTTAGTGATGCTGAAAAATTGCAGAAATTCAAATCATTGCATCTTATCAAGGTTTGACTACCTCAACTACATAATTTATTGTGTTTACTTTAAGACAAAAGTTTCAACTATTTACAAAAGTTTCGGGATGACACTGGAGATGATGTTGATGACACTGGATTTCCATCACAAGGAACCAATGTAACTGTTAATGTAAGATAACAATTTACAGTGTTTTAAAAACGTTTTCATAAAGATCATGATAGACCCCTCTAAATACAAAATCATTAATTTCAAACTGTGGAAGAGGTTGATTCAAATGTGGAGTTTAATATCTTAGAGGTCCAACTGCACTCAAATGTTTGTTATGATAGAAACACAAAACTATTTGATATAAAATACACATGCATATATAGCTCATTAGATGTGTTCAAAGTTTAAATATCATTGTTTAAAATGATGATTTTTTAGGATGAAGAAACCACTCCATCCAGCAAGTCAAATGGAAAAAGGGAAGTAGTTGAGGCAGAGGATGATGCGACCCATGGATCAAGCAGCAAGATACGCAGGACCCATGAGATTAAAAGAGAGCCGATTGATTAAATGGCTGATTACTTCCGATAATATAAAATCGATGAGTTTGATATTGACAATGGTTGTTTTTTATCAAGTACAATAGGTTTTTTCTGTGCCATGGTTTTTCTATCACATGGTTCAATTTTCTGATATCAAGGTTTCTGTTCGCTATGTGAACCTTTCCCATCATTTGGGGATGGACAAACCTAAGTACCAATAAAATATGGTTGATAGGCATCACTGTATTCAATAAGTAACATTTGATGTGTTATAGTCATTGCCACTTTTAATGGAGTCATAATGACAAGTGTGTTTTCAAAAAGAAAAAGAATAAGTATTTGGCTACAAATTACTACATGTTATGTTATAAACATGAACACCAGATATGTACAAACACTAAAAAGTGAAATAAAACCACTTTCAGTCCAAGAAATGCAGGCATTTGATGTGCATTGATCAGCTGCAAAATTTTAAATTTGGTTAAAATATGCAGTAATCTGCCTTTAATTTTGTAACTTCTGATATCAAGGCATTCTGATATCAAGGTTTCTGTTCGCTTTGTGAACCTTTCCCATCATTTGGGGATGGGCAAACCTAAGTACCAATAAAATATGGTTGATAGGCATCACTGTATTCAATAAGTAACATTTGATGTGTTATAGTCATTGCCACTTTTAATGGAGTCATAATGACAAGTGTGTTTTCAAAAAGAAAAAGAATAAGTATTTGGCTACAAAGTACTACATGTTATGTTATAAACATGAACACCAGATATGTACAAACACTAAAAAGTGAAATAAAACCAGTTTCAGTCCAAGAAATCTTGGCATTTGATGTGCATTGATCAGCTGCAAAATTTTAAATTTGGTTAAAATATGCTGTAATCTGCCTTTAATTTTGTAACTTCAAGTAGGTCATCTTAAATTACCCTATCTAAAATATACAAAACTTAAGTTTCCAAAATAAACTTTGTCCAAATCACTCCTAAATTAGTTCTGCTACACTCAATTAGGCAAACATTTTTCTCTCTCTTGCAGTCTTGATAAATTTATGTAGGTTTACTGTCTAAATAAAAAAGTAGGATTGGATGGTTTTCCCAAGGTTCAATCTTTGGCATCGGTTATAAGAATTAACTCATTGCCAAAAATATGTGCAGATAAATTTGGTCAGAACATCAATTAATACGGGTCACAAGGAAGCTAACGGGCTGATACACATTTGTTGCCCGTATTACACGTTTAGTTAATAACTACACAAATACAAAGATATTTAATTAGATTGGACACCATAAAATATTCCCAACAATCTCCCCCTTGGTGTTCAATCGTGTTGAATCAGCATTGCAGCGCATATATCTTTGTCTTTGTTGTTATTCAGCTTCCTTTGTCTTTGAACTTGACTTCTTGAGAAGGCTTTATGAAGAAATCCTTGCAATCTCCCCTTTGATGTCTTCTTGGCAATTTGATATTTGATGTTGGGGGTTGAGGAATCTTTTGCTTGTAGTCCTTGCCTTCCAGAAGTTGCTCTTGATCACCTTGGATGAATTCCGGTGACGCCTCTAGAATGAATGTTTTTTGGAGAATAGGAGACGCCCATGGAATTCATCTTCAACAGATTGAGTATCTGACCTTTGTCCCCTCCACAATGTAGTCTTTTTGACTGTTTGGAATGAATGCATTTGAGGAGAACTTGTCAGTGGCACAGCGGAACATAATGATGGTTGACTTGTGAGCGTAGCTGACCATTTGAGTTGCGAAGATAGTAGAGAGAGTTTTGGAGGAGAGAAATGTCCCAGAATGATTTTTTTTGACAGGTAACGGTATGTGGACCACTCTCCCCCTCATGACGATCCGATGACTCGGGGCGTCATGCCTTTATTCTTTTATTCTGCGGAAATAAAACAGGAAAAACAAGCAGAATGTAAAGAAGATAACGTAGCCCCCCGGGGTCATGTAGATGCCCGTTATCATCACTATAGAGTTAAACTCTGATGTGATGGCCTGAAAATGATGGTGATTCTTATGTTGCATCAGTAGGACTTCCTTCCAATCATTGGTCTACATCTGTGATAGATGAGCCCTATGAAAGTTCTCACGGGTCATGTAGACCTGCAACTGACTCAAAAAGTGCGTCTGTGTCCTAGAAAATTTCAAAACATTTGGGAGTGAGTAACTAGACACGACGTGATCAATGAAAGTTCACTGGCATGGGGCTGAGGCCACTGTAGTCAGTATCACTTGCCTAGGAAGGAGACAGTAATGAGAGATGTGGTTCCCCGTGAAATGTGATTAAACACTTGTCTGTTGAGAGACAAGTGAGTGGTCTTGGGTAGGGTTGTGCATGCGCCGTTTGGACAAAATGCAGCGACTTCTACCCGGGATCTGAATAAATTCAGTCCTGAACCTATGGGGATAGTCCAGAGTATTTGAGTGGCTAGGAGTAAATGTTCAATGGATAGTAGGCAGTTGAGGTAGCAGACTTATTAGTGATAATTGTTTTCTTGCTCACTTGAGCCTTCTGCTTCCTAATGCTCATAATATTCACTCACTCACTTGGTCACTCACTCACTCACTTACGCTCGGCTTTGTCCCTTGGGTAGGCTTAGTTGGGTTTACTAAGCCATAGGGACATGTTCTCTCATTACTTTCTTCATTGTCTCTTTGTACTCCCCCTCAACTAGAGCACTCGGTATGCTTAGTCATTGTTAGGTACCGAGGAGGATAACATTGAACACTCCCCCTAAAATGTTGCATCCGTTGAGAGATTACAATCTCGAGTTTTAAATCTTGAGATTTCAATCTCGAGGTTTAAATTTCGAGATCTTAATCTTGAGTTTGCCTCGAAGAATAATGACGAAATCCACCTGCAAAACACACCTACAGTCTTCGAAATCTTCATAATTTCAAAATGTTTGGAACATCGAAAACTTTGGAGTTTCGAAAAGCTCAAAAAATCGAAAACATGTTGTTTGAAAAACATCAGAACATCGAAAACTTCTAAAAACTTTGAAAAACAGAGATTCATCCAAAAATCCTATAATGTAAAGCATCGAAGTGGTCTGAACTGGAAAGATATCAAGTTTAGAAGAAATAAGTGATTCAAGAAACTCCAAACTTTGAAAAATTCAAAACATCGAGAAATTTTGAAAATCTCGAAATCTTGAGAATGTCGAGATCCTAAACATCGAGATCCCAAATGTCGAAATCCCAAAACTCGAAATTCCAAAACTCGAGGTTTCAAAACTCGAGATTTCAAAACTCGAGGTTTCAAAACTCGAGATTTCAAAACTCGAGATGAGAAATTCGAGGCCCTAAATGTCGAGATCCTGCAAAATGAAAACTTCGATTTTTGAAAATCCGAAAACTGTTTTGAATAGCCCTGAAGGTCGAGATTCTCCTGTATCAGTTTCAAGTCAAAATCATTTTTGCAGCAGTGAAAAACAAGAATCTCGAGATCTCAAATCGAAAACAGAGATATGCTGCTGGATCGGTTTTGAAAGGCGATTCCAACAGTATAATATTTACAGATTTTCGTTCACAAACAAGATAACAGGAGCAAATCTCTATATCAAAGAAAAAGAGAAGAAAAGCAGAGGAGTTCTTCGTAAGATCAGAAAATTCGCAGATAGATTTAACCTGTTTCATGCCTCGGCTCTGATACCAATTGATAAACCCAAATATTTAACAATCAAACAACCATAACAAGAAGAATAAGTAGATAGAAAGATATCGAGAAGATTAAAATCGAATCTGGTATACCGTGTGAAACCCCGCTGCTCTCCCTGGAGAAGGAGAGCAGCGGGAACCCTGCTCTCTCTCTATCTCGCCTCTGCGTCTCTAAAGCCTCTCTCGATTGTTAGGGTTCCCGTAAGTTAGCCTCCTTTTATAGGAGAAGTTGGCTAACTTACGGGTTACAAGGAAGCTAACGGGCTGATACACATTTGTGGCCCGTATTACACGTTTAATTAATAACTACACAAATAAAAAGATATTTAATTAGATTGGACACCATAAAATATTCCCAACAAATTTCTTTTCTTTGTTAATAGAAAGTCTTGTTGCTAGGTAACATTAAAAGTATTATGTACAGAATGAAAGAAGCATGATGTACTGGCCCAGAATGGATCAAGGACATTGACCCATGTGATGAACGTCTGGAGTTCTACTATGTTCTGGAGTTCTACTATGTTCTGTATTTGATGGTGGGTAAAGATTTTAGTACTCCATAGTAAAGATTGGTTAAATAATACTACGTACATTACTTAGAATAATACACACTCAGTGGGTAAATAATACATTACTCCGCGTGGATTGGCTCTTTTTGTGGAAGAAAGAAAAAGACGAGGTCAAGAAAAGATGAAAACTTAGAATTGGAGGACCTATATATCTGGCATTAAATTCTTCAGCTAGAGTACTAACCAATGGACATTATAATTACTAACCTCCAGACCTGCAATTTCTAACCCGCAAAAACATCACTCAACGTGCTCTATTTCCTTGAGTTGCAGCAGCTACTGCACATTTTCACTTTTCAGATAGTAATCAAGAAAAGCATAAAAAACTGGACCGGTTTATTACATAGAAAACAGAGGATCGGTTTATATATGGACCTGAATAGAAGAAATTTATCTGTCAGACTGGGGAAAGAACTCGACATTCAGACATTGCTTGCTCCATATTTCAGTTTTAGGTAGACCACCTCCGTGTAATGAAGAACATAAAGTTACGTTACAACAACTTGCTACTCCCATAAGACTCATTTGCAATATTTTCAACATATATATATGTATGCTAGAGAATGTACATTATGTGCTCTTTAATGCACATATTTTATTGAGAAGCTAGAGCAGATAGGCAAAACAAGATGTTGTAATTAACTAGTGATCATGTTAGGAATATTTTATGATGTTCAATCTAATTTAATATCTTTGTATTTATGTAGTTATTAGTTAAACGTGTAATATGGGAGGGTATCAGCCCATTAGATTCTTTGTAATCCATAAGTTAGCCAACTTCTCCTATAAAAGGAGGCTAACTTATGGAAACCCTAATTAAGGATTAAGAGGCTTCGAGAGCATAGAGGCGAGATAGAGAGATTAGGTTTGTCGCTGCTCTCCTTCTCGAGGGAGAGCAGCGACCCTTTACACGGTATACCAGATTCGGTTTCATCTCGATATCTTTCTATCTGCTTCTTCTTCATCTGTTATGGTTGTGTGATTGTTTAGAATCAGGGATCATCTATTGGTATCAGAGCCGAGGCGTGAAAAAGGTTGAATCTATCTGCGTTTTTCGAATCTAACGAAGAACTCCTCTGCTTTTCTTTGATATAGAGATTAGCTCCTGTAATCTTGTTTGTGAACAAAAATCTGTAAAAATTATACTGTTGGAATCGCCTTTTTGAAACGATTCTACATCATATCTTCGTTTTCGATTTCTGCAATTTTTTAATTTCGAAGATCTCTACATTTAGATCTCGAGATTGTATATTTAAATGGTTGCAGAAACGATTTCGACTTGAAACTGATACAGGAAGAATCGCAACCTTCAGGGCTTTTCAGAACAGTTTTCAATTTTTCAAAATTCGAAATTTTAATTTTGCAGGATCTCGACATTTTGGACTTACGAAACTTCGAATTTTGGGATTTCGATACTTGAAGATCTCGACATTCTGAAAATTTCGAGATTTTAAGAATTTCTTGATGTTTTGAATTTTTCAAAGCTTGGAGTTTCTTGAAACTCAGAATTTTCGAAACTTGACATTCTTCACAGTTCATCGAAGCTGTGGATGGACTCAGGTCCGGGTCGGGTCCGGGTCGCGCAAGGGCCGGGTCGGGCCTAGGCCCGGGCGGGCCGGCGGGTCAAAAATGGTGGACCCGGGACCGGCCCGGGTAACCACCGGGTCCGGTCCGGGTCCGGGCCGGGCCCATTATATATTTTTTTTTGTTTTCCTCTTCCTAATTAACCCCCCTCCCACCCCCAACCCCCCAAACCACCCCAAATAGCCCAAAATACCCAGCTCAACCCGAAAGTTAAAAAAAATTGAAAAAAAAAATAGTTTTTGGCCCGAATTGAACACGGGCCCGGCCGGGTCGGGCCTTGTTTTGGGTGACCCGAGCCCGGACCGGAAAACCCACGGGCCGGGCCTACCCGGACCGGTCACTGACCGGGCCACCGGGTCGGGTCAGGCCGGAACAGTACCGGTCCCGGGCCGGTTCCGGGTCGGGCCACCCGGCCCGAGTCCATCCATAATCGAAGCTTTACATTATAGGTTATTTGGATGATTCCCTGCTTATTAAAGTTATAAGAAAATATATTAAATGGGACTAAAACATGGTTAAAACTCCAAAATAGGACTTCAAGATTTAAATTTCCTAAATGGAACTCCACATAAAAAAGTGGAAGTGATAGGACGAGTCACTCAACGCCTTATATCACTCTGTATCTTCATATTTGACTAATCTAACTCATTCCAATGTTTGGGACTGCATCATATGTTATAAGTGTGACTTATTGCCCAAATGGCTTGTTTTCTGCTAAAATCCAAATTAGTCTTAGACTCATAGGTAAAACACACAGATTCCTCGCTCCATCAGTACTCATGAAATAAAGTACGGAGTATGTTTTTTAAAAGTAATTCGTCAACCAAACTATTTACCTGGACCGGTGACAATTTTGTTAAGAGGAATTTCAACAATTGAGGTCATTATTAGGTTAGTGACCACATATAACATTGTAAGACTACATAAATCAAAATCGGGACAAGAGTTTTTCTGCTTCCTAAATAATACGGAGTAAAAAATTGCAAACGGGCTTCGTTGTGAAGCACAGTATAATCCCCATATCACTCATGTTCATTGCACTAGGGCTTGTGTAACTTCCTCTGCCGTGTACTCAGCACAGGGAGATGCCTATTTGGTGACGACATCATGACATCGGCTGCAAAGTGAAGGATGCTCATCAAAGGAACCAACTTGAGGTGAATAGTTCCAGCATCTTTCACATTTCTCTCCCTTTGCCCGGGACACGCCAATCCAGACTTTACTTCCTCCTTGAATAACATACTCTCCTGTGTATGGTATTCCTTCAATCTGTTCATCTTCCAAGGATGAAAGGACCTCCACCTGCCAACCACAATTTTTGAAAATGTGTTCATGATTTTTTAATAGGAAATGGAACAGATATACCCGTGTACTATATGTGTGAGAAGAAATATACCCTTATTCTATTATTTGGAACAAAAAAACTCTAAGTTGAAAGTGGGTCTAAATTTACCCGTCCTTAACGTTTCCTAACTACAATTAACATACATTCCATTGGCCTAAAGAAAACCCTTGTGACAGAGCAGAGAAAAAAATGGCTTGAACCAAGGATGAAGAAACAAAGCACACAGGGAGGCAACTTCAATTACTCAGGCAGAGCAACGAATTGGACATAACTTTTGAATAATGAAATGGAGTAAAAGATAATGATGCTGGTATGTGTTTGACTGTGATTACTCATGTCTTTCCGGTGGGTTTTGTTGGTGTTTGTTACCAGATTACCCGCAAAGACCTGTTTTTGTTGTTTAAATTTCGGCCCAGTAAACAAAACATCCAACAACCAAAAGATACCAAGGGCAATACACACGTTGTAACTATTTCACAACCCTTGTATTTCTGCACTTTTTCAGAGATATTTGGGTTCAAGAGGACATTGTTTCTACAGATTGGTCAGAAATTTTAACCTTCCAGATTTAGGTGCCACAGAGTTGCTAGAAATTTTTCACCATTGTTGACACCAACAAGTGAGATAACTGGATTTGGGTTATTTGTTGATATTCTTTATGGAAGACAAACTCCCAATTTCACCATTTAAAATTGTGTACTGATGTATGTTTACGAGATATTGAATTTATTTCTTATTCACATGTTATGCATATTGAATTTGGTTATTACAGTATATTTTTTTCTTCATTTGTGTTATTGTGTAGCCTGGTATCCAAAGTGAAACACTGATATCAGCGGGTTCTTCTGTACATCAGGCAACTATTTTTGATGATCCCAATATGGTCTCTAAGGCTTCCGATCCTTAGTGAACAAGCTATAAGGAAGAACAATGTCAAATGATGAAGTGGCTGAAGGAAATCACGGAATATGTTAGTTTGTAGTGAGGAATGTTAAAGAAGGGTAGTTTTAGACCCACTTTCAAGTTTAGGAGTTCTTTTGTTCCAAAAAATAGAACAGTGGTATATATTTTCTCACACATAGTATAGGGGTATATTTGTCCCATTTCCAATTTTTTAATACTAAACAAACTGGTGTCTTCTAATAAACTCCCATACTACCAAAATATTTTTTTATTCTTTTTTTTTAAATAGAAGCACCTCATATGTTTAATTGATTATTAATTGATAGGTCCAGTGAAAAGATCCCAGCAGAGGAGGCCACAGTTAGTACCTGGGATGTTATAAAGATCCGATGCAATGCATCAGCATCATTTTTGGGTTCATGTGCTGCTTCCTTTAACCGTACAGCAAGTGTGGTATCCGAAGTGTGCAGATAGACCATTGCCTCTAAACTGGCACCGATCAACTTCCCAGCACGTGCAACTTCGAGTGCTTTGTTCACTTCAGTTCTCAGCTGATAATAAAGGTAGTTCAATTAACTTAGTATAATACTAGTAATACATATCGAAGGTAAATCCCATTAACAGTTGTAAGCTATTTGATTTTGACCCCCCTCACCCCCACATTGGATCTCGATAACACATTTAATCAAAAGACAATCATAATCTGCAATGCTGTTTCATAACACTTCTATCGGTCACATATTGTAGAAAAATGTAGCATATATACATGTTATTTTTATTATTTGTACATCTGGGACTGTATAGATAGGAATTAGAGTTGATATAGGTCTCTAATTCTTAGATTAGCTCGCAGATTAGATAGAATAGATTAGATTATCTCTAACAACCTTAGTTTATCTGTAACTTGTATATATATTATTGCCGGATGGCTCAATAATATACAAGGAAGATTAATTCTTCAAACTTACATGGTATCAGAGCCCTTGTTGTTTAAAACACCATAATGGTGGACACTGAACACTCTGATTCCTCCACCCACTCACAATCCCATCATCCTAACCCCCAAATTAGCCAAATGACAAATTACCAGGCCTCGGTTAATTCATCTATGCTCATTACTGGACATAGATTGAATGGAACCAACTACCTAGAGTGGTCACAGTCTGTCAAACTGGCAATAGATGGAAGAGGAAAGCTGGGATACATAACGGGTGAAGTAGAGGAGAAGAAGAATGGTGAAGATGGCTACAATGTCTGGAGGTCAGAGAACTCTTTGGTAACAGCCTGGCTTCTCAGTTCAATGGATGCATCAATCGCCAAACCTCACATGTTCATGAGAACTGCAAAAGAGGTATGGGATTCAATCAAAGAAACCTACTCAGATCTTAAGAATTCTTCTCAGATCTATGAACTAAAAACTAGGTTGTGGCAGTCCAAACAAGGAAATAGAGATGTCATCTCATACTATAATGAGATGGTATCTCTATGGCAAGAGTTGGATCAATGCTATGATGCTGAAGACTGGGAAAGTGCCAAGGATCTGGCAAGACACAAGAAGAGAGAGGAAAATGACGGGGTATATATGTTCCTAGCAGGAATGAATAGAGACCTAGATGAAGTAAAAGGCAGAATACTGGGGAAGAAACCCTTGGCCTCAATCAGAGAGGTCTTTTCTGAGATCAGGTTGGAAGATAGCAGGAGGAGGGTCATGTACAACACTCCAGTACCTAATGAGGAACCTGGGGAATCTTCAGCTTTGGTGGCCAGAATTGATGACAACAAGAAAAAACCTTGGTGTGACCACTGCAAGAAACTGTGGCACACAAGGGATACATGCTGGAAACTTCATGGAAAACCACCAGGAGCTGGAAAGAAGAAAGTAGAGAGGGCCCTACAAACTACTGTGACTGAGACTCGACAAGAGTCAGGAGTTGAATCTAAACAGCTACCATTCACTCAGGAACAGATAGAGTACCTACTCAAATTCATACTCACCCAGAAAATCTCCAACCAAGAAAACCCTACCTGTTCTTTTGCCCAAAATGGTAAAATAACATCATTTTTTTGTTCTGAAAAACCAAAAAACACCTGGGTCATTGACTCAGGTGCAACAGACCACATGACCTACATTCCAAAGTTTTTTTCTTCTTATCAACCTTGTGCAAGAGATAAGAAAGTTAGGGTTGCAGATGGCTCTTTTTCAGCCATAGCAAGGATGGGAAATATTAAAATTTCCTCATCCATTAACCTTTCCAAAGTCTTACATGTTCCAAAACTTTCCTGCAACCTTATTTCTATTAGCAAAATCACTAAAGACCTTCAGTGTTGTGTAAAGTTTTATCCCTCTTATTGCATTTTTCAGGATCTGGCATCAGGGAGGATGATTGGCAATGCTAGAGAGGAGGATGGCCTCTATACTTTTGATGAAGGAACACAATTGAATAAACAAGGTCAAGAAAAAACTTGTTTGCAAACTATTCTCTTTCCTTGTAATAATGAAGTGTATTTAATGCACTATAGATTAGGTCACCCAAGTTTTTCTTATCTGAAAATGTTGTTTCCTAAGTTATTTCATAATAAAAATCCTTCATCATTTCATTGTGATATGTGTGCACTTGCCAAACATCATAGGAGTTCTTATATCCCTCATAGTTACAAACCAACTAGTCCTTTTACTATTGTACACAGTGATATTTGGGGTGCATCTAGAGTTCCAACTCTGAAAGGAAAAAGGTGGTTTGTAACTATTATAGATGATCACACACGGGTCACATGGGTGTTTTTACTTAAGAAAAATCTGAGATTGAAGAAGTGTTCAAAAAATTTTACTCAATGATCCAAACTCAATTCAACACTAATATCAAAATTGTAAGAAGTGATAATGGTCTTGAGTATTTTTCTAAGAAGTTAAACAATTTTTTTGCTGAAAAAGGAATTATTCATCAAAGTTCCTGTGTAAATACACCTGCTCAGAATGGAATAGCTGAGAGGAAAAACGGACATTTGCTTGAAGTCACTCGTGCAATTATGTTTTCTGCTAAAATCCCAAAATATTTATGGGGAGAAGCTGTTTTACATGCTACCTATTTAATTAATAGGATGCCATCAAAAACTCTAGGATTTAAAACTCCTATTGATACTCTTCAAGCCAGTTTTCCTGAAAGTAGACTCTTTAATTCTCTTCCCATAAAAAATTTTGGCTGCACAGTTTTTATTACCAACCCTGACCGAACTGCAAGCAAATTTGATCCTAGAGGCAAAAAATGTGTTTTCTTAGGACTATCTTCAACTCAGAAAGGCTATAAATGTTTTGACCCTATAACAAAAAAGATGTTTATAACTATGAACACTGTTTTTGTAGAAAATCAACCTTTTTTTGGTACTCATCTTCAGGGGGAGATTCCTAATGAAGATGGTGATAATGTGTCACATATCCATGAAAAACTTGAATCTCTTGACATTAATCTAGATGCACAATATAATAGACAGTTAGATGCACTAGAAAATAGTCAAGAGTCAAAAGAAAATGAAATAAATTTTTCTGAAACAAGGAAAGATGATGAACAGCAGACAAGTAAGTTTTTTGGCAAGGTTTATGAAAGGAGAGTTCCAAATCACAGAATAGAGGACATCCCTGATCCTGCTACTGCCCATGAATCTGACTCAATGTCAGAAAATGACAAAGGTAATAATTTCAGTGATCTAAATCTACCCATTGCTCTAAGAAAAGAAAAAAGATCATGTGTTAAATACCCTATCTCAAACTATCCGTCCTATTCTCAGTTATCTACATCATTTGCAGCCTTTACCTCTAGTCTTTCCACTGTTTCTATTCCCTTAACCATACAGGAAGCTCTATCTATACCTGAGTGGAAGAAGGCAGTTTTAGAAGAAATGAATGCTCTTGAAAAGAATCAGACATGGCAGGCTGTAGAAGTACCCAAAAACAAACCAAGGGTGGGATGCAAATGGGTATTTACCCCTAAATTCAAGGCAGATGGTACACTTGAAAGACATAAGGCCAGATTGGTTGCCAAAGGATACACACAAACCTATGGCATAGATTATACAGAAACTTTTGCTCCAATTGCAAAATTAAATACTATAAGGATCCTACTATCTCTAGCTGCTAACCTAGACTGGCCTCTTCAACAGTTAGATGTGAAGAATGTTTTCTTAAATGGGAAGCTTGAAGAGGAAGTATACATGAGCCCCCCTCCTGGGTTTGAGGAACAATATGGCTCAAAGGTGTGCAAGCTGGAGAAAGCCTTATATGGACTTAAACAGTCCCCAAGGGCTTGGTTTGAAAGGTTTACTCAATTCATAAAGAAGCAGGGATTCAAGCAAGCCCAAGCAGACCATACACTATTCATGAAATTCTCCATTAAGGGAGAGATTGAAGTACTAATTGTTTATGTGGATGATATAATTCTTACAGGAAACTATTGTAAAGAGATTGAAGACCTGAAGAAGAAGCTTGCTCAGGAATTTGAGATCAAAGACCTAGGAGAATTGAAGTACTTTCTTGGCATGGAGATAGCCAGATCAAAGAAGGGAATTGTGGTATCCCAGAGGAAGTATGTACTAGACCTACTCCATGAAACAGGTATGAGTGCCTGCAGACCAATAGATACTCCAATTGACCCTAATCAAAAGTTAGGAAATGTCAAGGAAGGAGTACCAGTTAATATTCACCAATATCAAGGAATCCTAAGATATTTGAAAAGTTGTCCAGGGAAAGGATTATTTTTTAAAAGAAGTGACAATAGAAGTGTAGAAGCCTTTAAAGATGCAGATTATGCTGGTTCAATAACTAATAGAAGGTCTACATCTGGGTATTGTACTTATGTATGGGGGAATCTGGTGACTTGGAGGAGTAAGAAGCAGAATGTAGTTGCTAGAAGTAGTGCAGAATCTGAATTTAGATCTATGGCTAATGGAATCTGTGAACTACTTTGGATCAAGAGAATGATGTCAGAATTGAATATGGAAATGGAACTACCTATGAAGTTATATTGTGACAATAAAGCAACCATTAATATTGCTCACAATCTTGTGCTACATGATCGTACTAAACACATTGAAGTGGACAGGCATTTTATCAAAGAGAAGATTGAAGCTGGAATTGTGTGCACACCATTCATATCTACCAAAGAACAAACAGCTGATATCTTTACAAAGGGGCTGTTTAAACCAGTGTTTGAATTTCTTATAAGCAAGTTGGGAATGTATGATATATACTTACCAACTTGAGGGGGAGTGTAGAAAAATGTAGCATATATACATGTTATTTTTATTATTTGTACATCCGGGACTGTATAGATAGGAATTAGAGTTGATATAGGTCTCTAATTCTTAGATTAGCTCGCAGATTAGATAGAATAGATAGATCCTAATTTTTAGGATCTGTAACAACCTTAGTTTATCTGTAACTTGTATATATATCATTGCCGGATGGCTCAATAATATACAAGGAAGATTAATTCTTCAAACTTACACATATAAAGATTATAAAGTGGTACCTCAAGAACTTTGCCCCAGAAATCGATGTCTTCCACTGGGAAGGAAAGATGTTTCTCATTTGTTACTGGCCAGCCTGACTCGAAGACAAACTTGGCAACATTTCCATTTCCATCTTCAGTATTATACGGGAAAGGAAGATGCTGCCAGACATCTTCAGCCAGATGGGGTAAAATTGGAGCAATTATCCGTGTAATTGAAAGTAAATGAGTAGCAAGAACAGTTTGACAACTTCTTCTTGCAAAACTACTACTCCCACTGCAAATTAACGATTTAAACAAGTATGCAAATTTTATAAGCAACCACAAAAGAAGAAGAAAACATGTCATCCACAGAAGAACAAACCTTTTGGACGCATAATATGGAGTGTTTAGGATTTACAAAGAAGCAAGCTACTAGCTAGTCCATTAGGTGAAAACTAATTCTCGAAGAAGAAATCTGATCAAGCAACCACTTAACATTTCTTACTTATTAGTTCACTAGTTATTTATTTCGAACATTCCATTAAAGGACCTTGGTAAATATATGCTAAATCATACAACAGACACAGTTTGTAAGTGTTCATAATATTTCAGAACTCACCCAACATACAGTCGATCTTTTGCTACATCAAAGTAAAAGTTGGAGAGATCAACAATGGCAAAGCGTTGAACAATCTACACGGATTAAAAATAAGTTAAGTCATAAGAAAGCAACAGGATAATTATAGTTCTCTGTCTGCTTTTGTTTGTTACCTGATAAATCTTATAAAACTGATAATTGTCATAGCTTTCTTTGATGCTTTTCACAATGGAGGAAAGCTGAAATAGTGCATGCTGATCAATGATTGGAAGGTCACAGTATGGAACTTCATAGCCGAACTGCAGAAAAAACAAACATCTCTTCAGATACATGCAAAATGAAATGCACATCAAAACTTGGATGAGTTTACTACAAGATACTTTTACGAACCACATATCAAAGGACCATGCAAGATAGGACTGTAAAATGACTAGAATATACATGTCATCCAAAATGATAGAAAGGTTTACGGTAGAGAGATTGACCACACACAAATAAGTTCTCTTCGGATTCTTATATTTCTAAACAACATTTTCTACTTATAAAGGTTGAAAGCTACAAGATAAACAACTACTATTTTCCATGAATCGAGAAACTTCTTTCTCCTTTCTCAGATTATCATGCTTACATTCCAGTCATGGAGATTTGCCAAGAGAAACCGCAAAGTTCCTCGCAATTTCCGGTACATTTCAGACATTTGACGGAGGACTTGAGGGCCCATCAGTACATCTCCGGTATAATCTACACTTGAAACCCATAGTCTCAAAACATCAGCACCATAGGGTGGTGCTTCCTGTCAAATATGAGGTGTAAAAAAACTTGCAAATTACAATCCAGGAACTGAGATTGTTTAAAGCCCATTTACCAACTAATGACAAACCTACCTTTTGGTTTTTCCCTCCTTCAATTACAGTTCTGGGATCAACAACATTGCCCAAAGATTTACTCATCTTGAGCCCTTTCTCATCCAGGACAAATCCATGTGTAATGACGCCAGAATAAGGGGCTTTTCCTGTAATGTTTTTTATTGATCATGAGAACATAAGTTATCTTGGGAAAAGCAACATGAAGTCTAACTGTGTCTGATATAGAACCACTATGAAAATTAATACATGGAAGAAGAACGGACAGAAACCTATACAAGCAGCAAAAAGTGTATAAAACCGTTCATATCTATAAATAAATGATACATGATGGAAGCAAGTGAAAACACTATTATCATGTGACCTTTGCTTGCAATGCTTGTCAGCAAAGAGCTCTGAAACCAACCACGATGCTGATCTGTTCCCTCAAGATACAGATCTGCAGGGTATTGAAGGTCGCTCCTCTTTTCCAGCACAGCAGCCCATGAAGAGCCTGAGGGGAAAAAAAGGTTTGCATCACTGGTGAAGAGGGTTGATGAATAAAGATAACATTGGACTAAGACTCATAATACCTGAGTCAAACCAAACATCCATTGTATCTGTCCCTTTCTTGTATTCTGATGCTCTGTCACGATAGTTATCAGGAAGTAAATCCTCGACCGTCATATGCCACCATGCATCGCTACCCTTTTGAGAAATGATCGCTGAAAAATATATAATTAAAATTTCAATATATTTTCATGTTTCAATAGCACATATCACTTTCTCAAGCCTAAAAAAATTCTATGCTTTTGAGCACTATTGCATAACAATACAACAGATACAGTTATACGCTTTATCTAAGGAGATCTTATATCAAATTAATGATTCAAAATAGTAACTACATTTCCATTACTCAAGTTTTAAAGATAAAATACACGTAAATCGTGGCAGGAAGAGTTTTACATCTAATGTGGTTGATTGTTTCTTCTTTTAGAAGTGGCTTCTTCGATGCCAGGTGATAAAATACAGGAATGGGAACACCCCATGTCCTTTGCCGGGATATACACCAATCATAGCGGCTAGAAATCATTGCAGAAATACGATTCACCGCCTGGAAATAAAAATAGTCACGAAGTTCAGAAAAATATCGAATACGGATGAGATTAAGTAAAATCTACACGTTAAAACCCAAATCTATGATTAACCAAAACTAGTTGTTAAATCCTAAGAAGAGAATACTAACAATATGCAACCCATACATCCATAGGTCTGAAAATGAGCACTCATGATAACTTTTTCACACCCAAATGGAAATAGTGACAAATGACAGTCCACCATTAAACTAATACATAGTAGAATGCGTTAATTGACATTTTACAGAAGTCAAGGGTGTACAGTCAAATACCTGCGGCGGTACCCAATTAACTCCCTTGACTGCATCTATTGCAGCTTCTCTAAATCCTTCCACAGAGGCAAACCATTGCTCAGTTTCCCGGATTATTGTAGGCTTCTTATCTCTCCAGTCATATGGATACTTGTGTTCTGTACAGGTATTTCTTAGAAATTTATAGAGGAAATTTAATTACAAAACCTTGTATAAATGAACTTAATCTACGTTGTTAAAACAGGATATAACTCACTATACGGCTCCATCAGGATCATTGAGTGATGTTCGTCCAAGTATTGAATGACAGCAGTGTTCCCATTCCCAAGAACGTCAAGGCCGCTGAATGGTCCTGCTTCTTCAGTAAATTTTCCATCATCATCTACCGGTGAAAGTATTGGCAAGCCATATTTGAGGCCAGTAATGTAATCTTCCTGACCATGGCCAGGTGCTGTATGAACTAGCCCTGTTCCTGACTCGGTAGTAATATAGTCACCACCAATGACAACAGGACACTCTCGGTTGTCTATGGGATGGGTGTACCTGAAAATGAAAATATATAAATGAAGTCAAGATTGTAGAGAAATAAAGGTGATTGGTTCCTGCTAAAGATTGGTGGAAGAACCTTCTGCATCAAATTTAACTATCTGTACATGGATAACACACAGGTACTAACAAACACAAGAAAATAGTCATACATTTAAATGAAGGTTGTTTGACTAACAAGAGTATCAACTCCTGACCTTTTATCCCTCTGTGTGTCTAACAGTTTATGATATATTGTTCTTCACATCAAGAGTTAAGCTAGAGCATATATACTAGTTAATATGCCCAGACTGGCAGACTATTAAATATTAACTTGGGTACTCAATCCTACACTTATTAAGCTCTTTCGTGAACAAATATGTGCACAGACCCCCACTCCGTAATTAAAATCAAGAGATCATCCCTTAATGAATCTTCTCCCGCACGGAATGATTGCTTATGTGAGTTCTTCATTAATTAAAAACAGCCTGTGGGATGAAGTTTTAAATATGTCAATGACAGTCTGATAATCACACAAGTTTTGGATAACTTTTGGATACAATTCCATCTATAATGGAAAACAACCAAAGAGGTTATAAAATTCATAAAGTGGGATGAAGTTGTATTTGGGTGCTTAAAAAGTGGCATTGGCTGGAACTGTCCAGTGTGTGATGAGGTTGTATTTGGATGCTTAGAATGTACCGGCTATTCTCAAGATCTGCACCCAATAAAGTTTTCTTCACAACAAGCTTTAAGTTCCATTTTGCCTCCAGAGTTGACACAAGATCCAGTGCCACAACAAGGAACAGGTTCTCAAAACATTTCAACAACTTTCCTGGCATCATTGCTCCATTTCTTGTTAAAGAATTGACCATTGTCACTGATTGAACTTCAACAATGGCATACTGAAGTTTAGCATTCAGTGCAACAGCTGAAACAACATGAAGAAAGATTACAGAATAACCAATTCGGGGAGAGGGGTACTAGACATTTAAAGTCACTTACCTGCATTGGCTGGAATTGTCCAGGGTGTAGTTGTCCAAATTGCCAAATACAAATTAGGAATGAATTCCTTCAAATATTCAGAAGCGGGTGGAGCATCGACTAATCTGAAAATGGTATACAAGCTCTTTGATACATGCTCCTCATTATACTGCATATGAAAAACAATAAAAAAAAGGTTGTATAATATTAAATGTTATTTTCCCATGATTCTGAGAAAACAGTTTGCATATACCAAGAAGCCTACCAGAATCATGAAAAATAAAAGGTCTGAGGTAAATTTACCTCCAACTCAGCTTCTGAAAGAGCTGTTCGAGATGAAGGACTCCAGTGAACTGGTTTTTTGCCTCTATAGATATGTCCATGGATAGTCATCTGGCCAAATACTTCAATCTGGGTAAAAACACAATTTGAATGAGAAATATACTTATAAAACTGTTCAAATAACAGGCTACTGTTAATACATTTTTTAACAGGATGCTTTATGTTATGCAAGATTAAGAAGAACAACTTTCAATAAAATATATGTGAATCAAACACATATGCATTTAAGCCACAAGCAAAACAGAGTCCAGTCAAAGCAATATTCAAAACAAGATCTCAAAAACAAAATAAACGGATCTGTTTATGACTCTATCACCTATATGCTATGGCAGCTACCTGAGCGGCTTCATATTCTGGATCAAGAGTAAGATATGGATGATCCCAGTCTGCCCATACACCATATCTCTGTATGGTTCCAAAAAACAAGAGCTGATGTTATTGAGATTTGTGTGTGTGGAGGTTGGGGGTAGGATGGAGAAAAAACTACTAGGAAGGATATGTTTCTCATAGAAGCATACAAGTTTTCTTGAATACAACCTTAAATGAAGCCATCTGACTTTTCACTGTACTTTTGGCAAATTTAGCTGCCATTGCCCTCAACTTTTGGGGTGTTAGATCTCTTCTAGCATCATTGTCCATTGACTGCAAAACTAAAATAAATTGAAGACGTCATGCTACATAACACGGATGATGTGAGAATATCCCCCCTTTTCTTCACATGCATTCCAATTTTAGTCAAAGGATAACCACCAATAGTTAAGAACTAAGAGATTCAAAATAACAAATAATCATCAAATAACCTCCAAATTGAAAAAAATGTGCACTATGCTTTTTCATTAATCTATGTATTCTCTTCTCTTATAAAGGTTCTTCTCCTATGCTATATAATTTTGTTTGTTTGTAATTTTAACATATGTCTTTATTAGGTAAAAGTTTATGTATTCATATTATTAAGAGAATACTAGGTATATGTTAGTATATTCCTCACCGTGTGTGGAATATTATTATATTTTACAATGGAAGTTTATTTTTATTTTTACTATGAAATTGTTGACTATTTACAAAAAAATATTTCATTACTTATTATTTATGTGTGTGTATTAAAAATTGAGGATTGAACATCATTGTGCAATGAGGCTTCCAGAATACACAATACTAAAACCCGGCTCAATTATGCAATACGCAATTTCAAACATTATTATAGACTCCTGCAGGCTGCACCAGTGTACTTCTTTCAACCTTTTAATTTCTATGAAGAGAAGTAAGCTACCAAAATTTAGGAAAGTAACTATAACGCCCAATTCCTTCCATCAAATGCTATCACAATTAAAAAGGAAGTTCATGATGTTTTGAATTTCTTTTTCCAACAAGACAGTTTACAGTAGGAAATTTGTTGAAATATGTACCTTTCAACTCAATTGGTTGACCATGACAATCCCAACCCGGCACATACTTCACTTTATGATTTTGAAGAAGCTGTCAGGAAAAAAAGCACAGGAACCTTGAAGCATTGGGATTTGTGAAAGAATATGTTATGGTAATCTATGTGCAAGGCAGAGAATGTAATTTGACTCATTTCGATTAAGAACATGGAACGCTTGTAACGCTCTTCCTTTTGGAATGATGTACATACACATGCAGAGGGGAAGATATAAATGTGAAAAGTACTTGAAAATGGAATAAATTTTTCGGGTACAACAAAAATAAAATGAGTAAAAAGGGATGAAGAACGCAAACCTTATAACGATTAATGATATCCTTCAAAATCTTATTTAAAGCATGCCCTATGTGTAAATCACCATTTGCATAAGGGGGGCCATCATGAAGGACAAAAGTTCCCTACCAAAATACATCAACCATCAGAAATGAGTCCATCTGATTACATTAGAAAATTAAAAACATCATTTACAACTGACCCCAGTATTTCTCTCGGAGACTCTTTTAAAAACATAGTTTTCATCCCATAGTTTTTGAATTTCTGGCTCTCTGATTACTGAATTTGCTCTGAGACCAAATGTTGTTTTTGGCAGATCAATGGTGTGCTTATATTTCCCATCTTCCTGCTTCAAACCTAGCCAGTATAAAGCATGTGTATGAGTTTCACAAATAAAGATGTCCTTGGAATAGTCAACAAGAAATTATGAAACTATTCATAAATAATACAAATCAAAATATTTACAGTACATTACAGTAAAAGTGTAAAATACATGTTCACCTTCAGAAGCTTTCTTTGCGGACATCACAGGTACTAAAGAACTCCTTTTAGAAGAAAATGCATCGCTGGAGAAACTGCAAATATGGGTCACATTCAACAAGGACAAAAAACCAGCAGAAGATCTGCTTCTTCTATTGAATGGACTAAAATAACTAGTTGTTCTATATGATGAGCTCTTCAGTGACCAAGCCTGAAACAACCAAACATACTGTATCAAAGTCTGAAACTCACTAGTCAAATATCACATGCAAATACAGCTTGCAATGTGGATATTAGTGCTCTAGTGTAAACCATGGTGAACTTGCACCCGGCAATAAAAATAAACGTATCATCAAACAGTTAGTGTGCCAATTGTGGTTGCATTCAGTAAGTAAATTTGAGCGAATTCAAGAAGCGTAACTACACAACCTTACAATCATTAGAATCACGACACCCACTGTTTATGAGTACATTCCAGTTTAATACGAGTAATTATCACAAAACGGTCGAACTTAGAATTAGTGTCAGAAACAGCTTTGACCAAGTTTTATTTCAATGTTGGCTTTTTATAATATAAAAAATATATCAAAGGTAAACCAGATTGGTATTACGAGTCCATCGCTGACGAACATGCCTGCTGGATCACAACGTTAATAGATTAAAATCTTCAAGGCTGTCCAACAACGCTAACCCCAATTGCCGCCACAGCTGTAGCGGCTGATGAAGGCTATAACACTGTAGCAGTTCTAAGCCAGGCCTCAGGGGCTCAGGGTAATAATCAGTTCTTAAAAAAATAGGAGCCTCTAATTTAAACATCATTAAATACGAGTTTTTATTTTTGATTGGACCAAAATATCCCTCACACCTTTGTCACTACAGCAGGACTAACGGGGTGAGGGACCATCGTCTGCCGCCGGAGCACCGCCGGAAAATCTCAGATTTTTTCTAGACAGTCTGCCATATTTCTACCGCCAGAGTCGCCGCCGCCAGAATCCAACACCATTGTTGCCGTTGATCTGCCGCCACCACCGGACTGCCCCTGCTACCAACTAACTGCCTTGATTGTGCAAGAGAACTAGGGGGCAATTAATTGGGTTAATGAATTGCCAGAGTTCGCCGCCGCCGGAATCTGACCGGTGCCGTAGTGCTGCCGCCACCGACGGACAACCTTGGTTGTACAAGAAAACTAGGTGGAATTGTTTAGATTAATTAATTAATTAAATAGAATTATGGGTAGAAAAAAAGTAAGATTAGTCCTATTTAGGAGAAAACATACATATGCTATTTTGGGGGAAAACTTGAGTTTTGGTCCTGTGTTGGACAATTTTCTCATTTTTAAGTTGGGAGAGAATGAAAAAGCTACTAAATTTAAAGCTTATTTCACAAAAAAACTACTTTTACAACGATTTTTAAGGAAAATGTGATTAAGGATGTTTTTACTTGGACTGTAATTTGTTGGTCTGGTTTGGTCTGGTTTGTTTAGGTCTGGTCCGGTATGGTCTGGTAAAACGGCTGGTCTCTATGTATTTTATTATAACTACGGCAGTCAAGTCTGGTCTGGTCTTTTTAAGTCTGGCCTGGTCTGGTCTGTTTAAGTCTGGTCTGTTTAAGTCTGGTATGGTCTGGTATGAGACTGAAAACAGTCCAAGTAAAAACATCTTAAGTCAAAATTTATAAATTTAAGTAGATTTCCAGGCACGTGTCATTTTGATTGATTTGAAAAAACTTCCTAATGACTTTTTCAACAAAATTTCACAAAATATTGAAAAACTGGCATTTTTACATTCGTTTTGGGATGACAAGCGACGGCAGTGGAACAGGGATGGGAATTAAGTTAGAGTGACATGAGTGGATAATTTGATAGGAATTAAAATTAACAAAAAAATAATTAAACAAGGATTAGTCAGTTTTTTAAAAATTGAAATTAGTCAGGTTTTGTCTTCTAAATTTAGAGGTAGGGTCTGTTTGGATAGTGGCGGGTTGGCAAAATGCCGCTTTTTCTGCAAACGAAACGCTGCTTTTTTCGGATGTTTTGGCCAGAACACGCCTAAAAACAAACACCCTCGTAATATTTTTGCTATTTTCTAATGAAAAAGGTCTTACCAATGGAAAAGAATGTGAAAGATTTTATAGGTTTTAAAGATAAATAAAAGTGCACGTCATTAGGGAAAAAAAATATAGGTTGCAGCTTAATTCAAACATGTCAGGAGGGTTTGTTAAGCACCACTTTAAGCGGACCATCCCCTTGTTATGGAGGTATTTACGTTTCAAAAAAATGTTATTGTTAGTAAATTAGTAAAATGTATCGGTGGGCGTAGCTCAACTTGTAGCGAGGGAGTGCCACAAATGTTAGGTCCCGAGTTCGAATCCCAGCAACTGCGATGAGGTTACTATGCTAAAAAATGCATAGAACCTCTGCAAGTACCGGGGACAGAGCCTCACTCTCTATCTGTCAGATTGAGATTATAGTCCAACTTACATCCTCCCAACGTACCGTCCGTTCGAGGTTGAGGGGGCCTCAGGGATGGGGTGTCATCCTTTTTTTTGAAAAATAGTTAACAATGAAGTAAACATTTTCTGGAAGAATATTTATTACTCAATAATGAGTACATTGGTTAAGAGTTTAAGGACATGTTTATTGCACTAGTTTTTTATATAAAGGATCGGCTTTTATATTAAAATCGAGAAAAGATACAAGATAACATTCAGACAGTTATGACATGTTCGATTGTGAGTCCTGGAAAGAGAACAAGCTCTACCAATGTCTACGTACTCTAGAAGAAAGCAGACACAAACCACTGACCATACAAAGCTAGTTGGGACACCAACAGAAGTCTCCACATCGAGAGAGACAGACCGCCTCGGAGCATCAGTGTCCGGGAAAGAACTGTCATTAACAAAATCAACACAACTAGAAGAGAATAACAATCCAATTAGATCATACCTCTACCAAGAATTTCTGAGTGTCGATGTCACCATCACATAGTTTGGATCACTGCATCACTGGGTTGAGATACACAGATCAAGAAGATGAAAGCCGATGGGAGAAAGCTAATGAAAAGGTTGGCCCGGTCGTACTTCAATCGTTGCTGCGCTAGGGTTGATACGCGAAGACCGCCCTCAAGTTAAGATACAAAATACACCCCATACGTTTATTGCACGAGATTGTAGGCGGTGTTTGTTAAAGCTTGTTCTACAAATGTTTACAAGTTGTGTTTACTGCCGGCATGGCATGTCTTACTCTTTTCAGTCTTTTGTCTCACAAAGCTCAATTAAGTTTAACTTACGCGTGAAATAATAAAGTATGACTGTATAGTTTAGATTTATGTATATGCGAGAAATAACATTAACCACATACGACTATTTATTACCAAGTATTTTAATAAAAATTACAAAAAAGTAAGGCTAAACAAGACAAGTTAACAAAGTTTTGTGAGGCTGAGGGAGTATTTGAGAATATGTTTTCACATGGAATGTTGTCAATCTTCCCCAAACACGTTTTTACAAAAATACAATTGTAATCTAGTCTTATAAATGTCAATGATGGTAAGGACTCTTTGGGTATGTAAAATGTGTTGGTGTAACTCAAAAAAAATATCAAATGGTATATTATGCTATTCAAGTTGAACTTTATAACCATATCTCCGTTTTCTGTCCATCTTGTGTTAGTATACATTTTTTAATGTCTATTCTTTCCGCTTCATCTGCTTCACCGTCAACTGCCCCGTCTAATTTATTTGTTTTAATTATTTTATTCTCAATTAATTATCTCAATTCCTAAAATGAAATATATTAGTCTTATTGGTGGTATCGGACGATGGGGTGTATCGCCCATCCAAAGTAGCAACCTTGGAGTCGACAACAAATTGGAGTTGATATGGGCACATCAAAGATCGTACAAAATGGCGACATTATGCTTTGGACACATAATGTACTTCGATCATATGATAAGTACCATAGTCATCGACGAATGGTACTTCGATCTGAGTTATACATATTTGTCACATAATCAATTGCTGCATCATATTGCACTTCAATCTATAAGACACAAGTCGTAATGTCAACAGAAAAGAAGTAACCATGATCTCCATTATCCTTTGGTCAATGCTCATCACTTTTAGTCTCTAAGAATCAGATACACATACCATTCTCTATGCCATATTTCCAAATGCTCATGACATCGCTTAATTGCACTTATTTAATCTTTTTGATGTTTCTTGTTTACTTCTTTATTGGTTCTTATTTTCGAGGTTTCTCAATTGCTTTATTAGTTACTCAGTCTGCTAGGAGATGATATAGAGTTAATGGAGGGTGAACCCTTTTATCTAGACTACATACTTCCACTTTACAGGTGAAGGAATAACTCAGTTTTTTGTTTTTTGTTTTATACACTAGCTATAAAGTGACATTTCTACAGTTTTATGCATATATTTTGCTGCCTATGTTTCTATATGCTGCAAACTTATGTCTCTCGAGGTGCTACAAAATCAACTATACTCTTATATTTGGTTTCGAGCAAGGAGGGGCTAGGAGGAAGTCTTTCTCTTTTGCAATGGTCTAGCAATGCACATCCATGGCACCTTTTAGGGATTGGGAGAAGGACGCAAAACAGTCTCTATGCACATTTGGTAGAGGAAGTGATAAGGGAAGGAACAAACATAATGACTTAATATAAACTATTCTTTGTTTTTTCTAAATTCTTCATGATTGATGGGCTTATTTGAATTGGAGCTGAGAATATAAGAAACAAACAACTTAATGGGTAATTTTTTTCAATAGGATTGCACTTCAGAAGCACATAGAGATTATAATATCTTTATGTAGATGTAAATGGACACCCAACCAACCAACATGCATTATATGATAGGTAGTTTCTATACCCAAGCTTTTAACATTCTAATTTTATGAGATCCAAAAACATAGGTTGTGTTTTTTATGCTCACTTTGACTGTAGAACATATCGTCGTGATTAAACACTGAGCATAATTTCATAGATAGTTGTGAACAAAATATTAATCTATATATTAAAGATCTACATAAAAGCAATACATTTCTACATCGTCCATATTTTTAAATGTTGCTTTGGATTTCTTTCATCTTCATTCACCCTACCTCCAGTGAAACTGGACCGTTTTTTTGTTTGCTTTAGTTTGGAACATTCATTTCACAACAACAATCTTTCTGTATTGGACAATTATTCATGAGGGTGTGAAGTATGTTAGTTATGGGAAAAGAAAACTAAAGGTGATGTATTGACTTGAAATACCTACAAATTGCTTGTATTGAACTCTTGGTTAATAACTTATTGCATCTTCTCTCCTAAACAACTAAAAACTCAACTTGGGGAGAAGCACGGGTCCATGAGCTAACATTTGATTTCATAATTTGATCTTTTGTTTTTGTATGTTGATCTGATCTCTTGGGATTGAGCAAGGATGGAAGTGGGGGGACACAACCAGTCCAAGCACGAGATATATAAAACCGAGTAGGACTTGGAAATTAACCAAAGCCAAAGAAAGTGGATTGAAGCCTTGAAGTACAAGTTGGTGATAGATACACTCTTATACTAAAGAAGTCCATTGCCATGTTCCATGAGATGTCTTAGTTAAACAGAGAGTTTGGCTTGCTATACTGATATGATTTGGTGTATAGAACATCTGCTAAACTTTAGGTACATAATGTGATATGGATTTTTAGCAATTCCCCCCCCCCCCCCCCCCCCCCGCTTTTTTCCCTCACTACCCAGTTGAATAAAGTCGAGTGTTCAATACTTAGTTAT